TCATCTCTTATCTCCCCATCCATCTTTCCCCTCATTACTGCAGATTTTTGTACCTCTTTCCATGTTGGCATCTCCTGTTCACCACAGCCTGATACACCTGTGCCAATTTATTTTTAGCTTTTTTTTTTTTCCTGTTTATATAACACACTTTTGCACAAGTTTTAAGTGATTTTCTTTTAATTGGTGTAAGAGCATTTAATTCTCTCCTGCTTCATTTTTTTTTGCCGAACCTCAGGTGAAGGTGGCAGAGTGTGAAGAGTTAAAAAGATTTGTGAGGGGTTTTTTTGGTGTTTTGTGCTGTTCCTTGCACCTGGCTCCAGCAGCCTGTTGATCCCAGCATGACTCACCTATTGGATGTTCAACTTTTCGTGTGATGGAAACAACCTGAAGGGTTGCTTCGTTTCTAAACAGAGCTTTGCTGCACTTTATTAGGCGTATTTTTAGGGATGCAGGAAACACTCAGATGGGCTCTGCTGATGGGACTAAATGTAACGTGAGCAGAAACAGGAGCAGTATTTCAAAATACGAACCCTGGACCCTGGGAAGGCAGCAGAAGGTCTCACTTGTGCTGTTTTCTGGTGCTGCCATCACTGCAGGCCCACGTGTTGGGGTTAGCAGGCTGTGGATCCCAAATATCCTTCTACAGGTGTTTTTAAGAAATTTAATTATGCCAAGTGTACATCCTGTCTAAAGAAGTACAGAACTCCTGATCACAGAGATACACCTTGGTATAGCAAATTTTGGGGTATAGAGTGGTGGGGAACAAGGCTTGCTTGTGCAGATATAGATGAGTTAAGTGGTGGTGGTGAAGTTTGTTGGGGTTTTATGTTGTTGATAATGGGTTCTTTTAGTTCTTTTTAAAAAAGCAAATTTGTGTGACATTGTTTTCTCCAGTAGTTGTTATTATTAACACAGGTATTACAACACACAGAGGCTGTTGTTTGTCCTTAAGAGCTGAGAGAATGGAATACCCCTTCTTTTTAATAATGTGACTTTTACCAGGGCAAGTGGGTTGTGAATTAGTACTTCATTATGGACTGACATCAAACAGAGTCCCCTCTTCAGAATTACCTACTCAAGAAAACAGTTTAGAATTGGTTGTCTGGCTCATTTAGGTACTTGAACATCCTACCAATACAGAATTTTTAAATAAAGTATGTTTAACAAGTTCTGCAGCTTTGAATAACAACAAGTCTAATGAAGCAATAGAATAAATATTTTTGTGGCTTTTAAGGGACAATTATGTTTGTAGAGCTGGAATCCTTGTTCTGCAGCTATCAAAACATGGTAGAGTTGCTAATAAACTTACGTTGACAATAAACATCAGTTGGTACAAGTGTAATACAATGCTTGGGTGTTGCTGGGCTTGGAAACCTGAAAAAAAAAATTAAAAAAGTAAGTGGAAAAGTGAAACCTGATTCTCTCACAGTGAATGTGTCCTGTGATTACTTGGTATAGTTTCCAGCAGTGTCTGCTAATCTTAGGAAGTTCCTGTGTGTCTAGAGGTGAAACACCACACAGGTTTCATGGCAAAATATGACATAAACTCAGCATTGCCATGAGCATGAGTTTGTGTGTCTGCAGCAGCTCCATATTTTGGAGCAACTTTTAAGTCTCAGTGCTTGAGACTTTAAAACTTGGCTTATTAAACAGAAGGAGAGATCCCAGTGGAATACAGAGTTTTCACATCCTTGCTGTTTGCATGGGCAGGAACGTGTTTCCTTGTTCTCATTTTGGGGCAGAATCAAAGGCTTTTCAATAAAGCTGAATTACATTTTCTCGCTCCATTTTATTGCAATGGCATCTGTATTTCAGTTGATATAACTTTATGTACTTGGTGCTAAAGCAATGAGGCAAATATATGTATTAGCAGGGGAAGGGAGAAGAAAATGCTGGTTCAGGAGTCAGAAAGTCTCTGTTGCTAATTTTAGACTTTCTTCTGTATGGCAAACTATAAACAGGCAATGAAAGCATTTAATTTGCAAATTACACAGTTCTAGATTGGTTTTGAAGTTGAAATTTTTTTCCTTCAAGTCAGTTCTTTTGTAATGTCTTTACCAAAATACTTTTCAGTGGTATGATTAGAGCCTTTGCCTGGTAGAGTTAAGTAATAAAGTTGATAATTTTGTCCATGAGTGGCTGCATTTTAGATGAAAGGAGATTGCAAGTGAGGCATAATAAATGCAAGTAAGAAGAAAAAAGATTTGGGCAAGAGAAACTAATGGAAACACTTTCTTTTGGTGACCAGTTTGAGGAAGTAGGTAAGTTTTAAAAATCTGGTGATGAACAAAGTCTGTAGTTCAGTAGATGAAATACAGAAATACTTCATATGTGTTTCTGACCTTTTTTATCAAACTAAACAATGGGGTATTGTCATCCCATGGGGCACTGAAAAGCCAGACCTGTTCTGACTCATCACTTCTCAAAACCATCTCCTGTCCTGTCCCAATCTTGGTTCTTTGTCTCCAGCTATATTTTTATCTGTTGAGACAGTGGGATCAGAGCCTCTGATCTCAGAGATAAAAGTCAAATCTGTAAAAATAAACAAGCCTTGCCATTAATTAGCCCACCTTCTAAGGTATTCTACCTACCCTGCCAGTTTTCTGAGGACTGAATGTCCCTTTCCAATGAGTTCATGCAATGGCCAGTTTTGTCAGAAGGTACAGCTCTGCTCCCTGGTGTTATTGTGCTTAGGGTACTTTATTAAAAACCAACCAAACAAAAGCCTAACAAAAGAAAGCCCAAGGATAAACAATCACTCTTGATAATCTTCCAGAAAACTCTGGCTTTGAGCTTCAGTACTCTGAATATGCCACAGAAACACCTGAAAATCAGACCTGCATCTTGTTTAAAAGCACCCAGTACTTTCCAAGGGCAGAGATTTAGATTTCATTGTATGGTGCTAATAAAGAACTCGACTCTTGTTTTGCCAGTTGATTTTCCATTATGTTTAAAGCAGTGCCAGACAGTGTATAAAGGGAATATAGAAGTATATAAATAAATGGAGGATATTTTTGCAGCCCTGTGATTAGTCTGGTCCTACTGGAAGGTGGGATGAAGAGCTCTCTGCTGATTTGTGAAAAGTTACTCTTTTATTGTAGCACAGCTCATGTTCTTCATTTTCAGATGGATTTTTTTGTTGCTTCTTGTTTCCCAAAACCTTTTTCACCCCGTGACAACAATTTTCACTTGCAATCAGTGATTAATAACTTCTACTGTACAACACTGGAACAGTTCAAACCACAGAGCTGGCTGCTTGTGGGATAATGAGGATGTGCCTTCCAAATCCCATGGCATGTCCCAGCCCAGTCCCATTCCCACAGGGTCTGTTGAGCTTCTGAAGGTCTGTATTTCCCATAAAACACAAGTGCCTGGAAAGCTCTGCAAACCCATTTTATTTTAGTTACGGAAATTCTGTGTACTGCATAAGATTTATGGCTTCCAGTGGTTGTGATGTAAAAGGGAAAAATGTGGTCTGAATTAATTTTATGCATAAATTTTACCAAAACAAGTATTATTTTAAAGTCCAAATTGCTGTTTTCATCCTGTACTGGAATAGTGTGTGTCCACAGGGGTGCTGTCACCTCTTGGTTCTTCCTTCCATGACTCAGGGCAATTCTGCTGGGACAGCTGATGAACCTGTAATGCTCTGGGCAGGGGGGGAAGAGAAAGGTGCTTTAAAAGACCTGAAATTAATTTCATTTGGCTGTGGTTGTATGTGGCTTCCACTTCATGTCCAGCAGTTTATCCTGAGATGCACCTCCATGGAAATTCACTTGGAAAGCTGAAAACAGCCCCTTTAGGAAAGGTTCCTGTGAACTTTGTGTGCAGTAACAAAGGATAACACAGCAATATCTTGCTGCAGCATTAAGGTTGTGGGTTTTTTTTTTTGAAACGAAGCATTGAAATTCTAATCCCTCTTGTTCAGCGTTCTGACTGTAACAGCTGTTGCTTTTCAGTATTAAAAAATACTGTATTTTGGGAAAATAGCTACTGTTTGTCAACTCACTGCTGCTATTACACTTGGTTATAAAGACAGCCTTGTTTAAAGACTGTGTGTTAGTGTCCTGTACAAGGTTATAAACAAACATGGACCTTTTTAAATTGTTTTCTTTTTGGTCTTATTATGGAAAAATATATGGTTTATTCATGGAAAAGCCATTGTTAGTGTAGAACCTCAATCTCAGTTTGTTCTGCATGTTAAATCTAGCTTATTTTAAGAGTATAATGAGGCCGTACTTTGTTGGATCTTGAGTTGGTGGTTAGAGGGAAAGCTAATATAAATTTATGATAAAGTAATTTGCGTTTATGTAAACTCTGTAGCATTTTTTTCCTCCCCAGAAGCATTTGCACAATGCTGTCAGGCACGTGGTGGGATTCTTGGGGATGGTCCTGTGCAGGACCAGGAGCTGGACTCGATCCTTGTGGGTCCCTTCCAGCTCAGGACATCCTGTGGCACTTACACAGCTTAAAATGATGGCAAAGGCCTGAGGCCAAGCAGAGTGGATTACAGGGTCAACATGCTGAGGTGCAAAGCTCTTACTTTCTCCAGAGCTTAGCAGTGTTCCAAGGGATTCTGCTTGTCCTTTTCTCTTTGGAAAGATGCACCTCTGTTTTCAGCTGTGTCATTGTTATTTTACAGTTGGTTAGAGGAGCTCGGTGGGATCTTGGTGCTGTTTTCATCAGAGCCTTGGTTGCAGAAGCAGTGGCTTAAGGACCTGTTTTTAATTTGCCCTAAGGGCTGCTTTTTGGTTATGAAAATCAGGGTAGCATAAGCCTAACAAAATTAGCCATAGGATCTGTTAAATTATATTGCTGCAAATCAGTTCAGTCCCAGTTCTGTCACCCTCCCTGGTGTCCAACAGACACCTCTGCAGCTGATCCACCCAACGTGCTGGGTTTAGTTCCACAAGGGATGCGAGATCAGGACTTGAGAACTTGAATCTCCTGCCTGTTGAGTCTTTCCTAATATCCACATCACCTTTTTCTTCCCAACACAGACCTTGAGAGCTCCAGGACGAAGATGAGGAGCGCGGTGTCGGTGCGGGAGGGCCAGGGGGTCGTGCTGCTCTGTGGACCAGCCCCCAGGGCAGGAGGTAAGGGACCCTCTGGGCTTCAGCTGGAGCTGATGGGCAAGTGGAATATCCCTGGAAATTCAAAAGAGAGATCCTCCAGAGAGAACAAGAAATGAAATCTGGTTTCTAAACGGAATACAGAGAGAAAGAAACCAAAAGGAAAAGAGGGGGAGGGAAGTACTTAAGGGGATTTACTTTTATCTTGGAATCCTTTCTAGTTCCTAGTAATTTCTGCACACTTAATGTGTCTGATTTTTATGGTATTTCCAGTAATTAATGGGGTATTTTCTGGGGTTAAATTCTGCCCAATTTCACAATTGCCAAGCCTCGATGAATCTGCTTTTCCCTGTGACTAGACAATTGCAGAGAGTAGGTTGTTGTCTTTAATTATGCTGGTGTCTGCCTGTTTTCTTGCAATGGAGACATTCTGGGGTGTAATGTAATGATGTTGCTGTAATTTAAACCACTGCTGCATTGAGGGGGTGAGGAAACTGGATATAAACTGGATATATGGATTCTTGGTGGACCAAAAGTTACAAGTACATTTTATCCCTCATTCTGCATCTTCAGTCTTTGACTAATTGCTATTGAGCCTCAAGTAATATTTGAAAGGAACTGGTTTTATTGTTTTTAATTGATATGGAGTATCATTATTGAAGGACTGGGATGTTAAACATTAGATTTGATTGCAAAGACAAGGTAATATAAGCTAGACATTGTATTCAATAATATAGGTATTGTGGCCCCATAAATTTGGCAGAGTCCAAGCAGACACAGCCATAAAGTGGCAATTTTACAACTGTCTGAGCTTGCAGAATTTTTTTTCTCCCTAAACTGATACATACTCTTAAATCATCTTTATAGCCTTGCAACAGCTTTGTCTTTTCAGCAGCTGGGAAAATGGGTCATTGTCCCAGCTATCTGTAAGAATTAGAATGATTAAATTTCTGCTTCTGGATGCAGCACAAAGTCTGAGTGATCCCAGCTGTTCTCACACTCGTGTCCTGTGTGTGGGTTTATACCCAGAGGTGGTGACCAAACTGACAGCAACTCTGCCTGATTCTGGCAGTGTTTGAGTCTGAGGTGTTGAGCAGGAGGGGATACAAAACATGCTCATGTTGCTGAGAACAGAGGTTTGAACAAACACGTGGAAGAGGTGAGAATTCCTTCTGCAGTCAGCAGATGGGATATGATTGACACCCCCCACACTAATTGTGTCGTTCCTGCAGAAAAGAGACAGCTGAGTGCTCCCAGAATTACCAAATGGAGCTGAGAACTGGTAACAGAATTACTTAAAATCCTTGGATTTGTCTGAGAGATGGAGGATTAACTATTAAAGTTTTCAGCAAGCGTAGAGAAAGGTAGAAAGAAATCCTCCTTCTTTCTTCACTAAAACAAACCTGTAGCACAGTGACATCAAACCTGCAGTGCCCCCAGGTCTGACATGGTAGGATGCAGGTCTATAAGTCTTAGCTAAAATACTCATCCATGAAGCAGGAGTAGTTTGTTAGGAATAGCAGGGATGGTTTAGGAGCAGCTGACCTGGCCTGAGGGCTGCTCAGCCCTTTCCAGATCAGTGATCTGACTTTTTTTTTAAATCTTTGATGCTGTATTTGTTGCATTGAGCTATCAAATAATTTCAGACAATACTAATTCTAAAAACCTTCTCAAACAGCTTGTTTTCCCCTTCAGCACCCCAAATACTGTTCCTTTTTCTTCTGTCATGTTGTGCAGTTTCTAAGACCTCACCAGCTTAATTGCACGTATTTTCTGCATTCTCTGTAAGGAGTCTTCAAGAAGAGACTTGATTAAATGGTGATTATTCCTTCACATACAGCATTCCAGTTACAATAGAAACCAGTGTTCATCCCCAAAGAGACACCAGTTCATAGTACGGTAAAAGAGAATTGCCTCTTCTACAATTTGGTGTATTTTTTTCTTTGCTTACCTTTAGCACAGATATTTACATAAGTCATAGGAATGTCTCTTTTCAATGGGCAGCAAATAATTCTTACAGTTCACAGTAGTTTTGTCCTTTTGAATTCTTCAGTTCCAGTTCCCTCAGGGTGTGGACATCCACCATTTAAACCAGCAATGGGACTCCATTTAACTCCCTGCACATCAGCTCATGTGCTGAGCTTGGATTTTCACTTCGTTTCCCTGGTGGCTGTTGTTGTGCAGGGGAGGGAGATGATGCTCAATATTTCCAGTTGAGGATGTACAGATAATTTTTATGTTTCTGTCATAAAGCATGAGCTCTATCACAAACCACTGCAATATTTTCCTTAGAGTTGGAGCACTTTCCCTTCCTGGCATTCCCTTTCTTAGCAGTCTGGTTTGGGATTTACTGAATGTGAGACTCAGTAAATGACTGGCTTTGTGTAAGAATTGTCCTCCAAATATTTTACTAATTCAGCCTGGTTTTATGTTACTGTTGTAAGTTGTGTCATCATTGAACAGTGTTTTTTGATAATTAAGATGTTCATCTCTCATAGTTCTGCCTGGCCATACTTCTGGATATTTTAGTTCTGTTAAAATACCCAGGGTTTCGCCACAAATCAGTAAATCATCTCACCCACACACTCAAAAGAGGGAATGGCATCTAAAATTGATTTATGTAGATCTCCTGCTACTTTTTCTGTTGTTATAACCTTTAAATTGTACTTAACTCTCTACAGCTATTTCGATTTTTACTGTGCTGCTGTTATATTTTTAATGCTTTTAAAGGACTGTCGATACCACAAACATCTCAATGTACAAAACTTAACGTTGGACACAGTTAATGTGCAGCTGGTTAAAAAACATTCATGCGATGCTAATTTTTCCCCACTCTGCCAAGAATGGGAAAAGACCAGACATATGGAGAGCTAAAAATGATTTTTCTCTGCTATTGATTTGGTTCCAAAATCAGTATCTAACGAGTGACAAAGCCCTCAGTAAAGCAAATCTGCAAGTTCCTTTAGGGTTTCACCTACTGTTACCACTGTACTTGTGTTGTGATTATTGTGTAGCTTGTCTTCAGCTGTTATTTCTGTTTTCCAGATACTGTGATTTCTATTTGTTTAGCACAGTCAGTTTTACTCATCTGACACTGATTTTGGATTTATGAGGTATTTCTGCTCTTGGAGAGGAGAGGAAGGAATGAGGCCTAGTCCTTTTATGTTGTCTGGGGTGGCGTCAGGGATGCTTTATACACAGAGAAAAAGATGATTTTTTTAATGGTGGGAGTGAAGATTTGACATTTTAACAAATTTAGTTTGCCTGGAAAAACTAGACATTAGCTTTACATTGGTGGATATACTCCTGTTACCTTGTTCCTAAATGGAATGTGACCATATCCCAGGAGAACTTCAGGAAATGACATCAGTGTTGTGGAGCTGATGAGGTGTTCTTTGGAAATTGTAAGGCAAATCTCTTTGTCTTAAATTCATGATTAGCCTCGTGTGATACGTGTTCCTATTTCATGCAATATGGCAAGGATAATTCTAAATATATGAAGCAACAAGAATGTCCTCCCTCTTTATATCATTCCCTGCAAAATGTAGACTTCATCAATAAATGGGACTGTATTTGAAGGACAGGGATCAATTCAGCTCACAGCATATTATTCTAGAGTTGTGACATGCTGATATGAAATAACATCAGATCATGGAAAAATAGGTCCCAATTTATTGCTCAGTGTTTGCTGTGACAAATCGTTCAATGAATAATGTCATGTCTGTTGCAAATGACTATTTAGACTTGCAGATTTTTGCTCGTGTCTCTTGTATTGCCATTTGGAGACCTGCAAGCTCCAGCAAGGCTGTGCTTCATGAATAACGTGGCATGGGAAGCACCTCAGATGCCAGAAATATTTTGATGCTTGGATTACTTCCTTTCTGCAGCTCCTGAATAGCAGCGTGCTGTTTTTCAGGGAACTGTAAATTGAATTTGTTTTACTCCCTTGGCTTTGGAAACATTTCATACCCTCCCAGCAAAGCGAAATGCATCGAACGCTTTTCTGGTGGCCAGCAGTGTGTTTTCATAGCATCACATCAGGGAATGGTTTGGGTTGGAAGGGACATTGAAACCCATCCAGTTCCACCCCCTGCCATGGGCAGGGACACCTTCCACCAGCCCAGGTTGCTCCAAGTCCCTTCCAACCTGGCCTTGGACACTTCCAGGGATGGGGCAGCCACAGCTTCTCTGGGCACCCTGTGCCAGGGCCTCCCCACCTTCCCAGGGGAGGATTCCTTCCCAATATCTAATCTAAACCTCCTTCCAGGAGGTGAAAAGCATCCTGGGTTTGCAGCTTCTATTCTTGCTTTTGCTGCAGGTTGTGGATAGCACTCATCTGGGCATGAGCAATCAATCACACTGGCAGAGGTTTTGCACCAAAATGCGTTCTGAGGAGACAAGTACATTGAATATTGTAAAAGCAGTGGCCTTAAAAATGGTTCCATGGTGTTCTTGTGCTGTTTTCAATCTGCCAAGGAGAAATGGCGTTTTTATTTAAAAATATATTTTGCAATAGTCCTGCTGGTGTCATCATCATCATCTGCACAAATTTCAGCTGACAGTTTGAAGTCAAATGGCACCTGAGAGACACTTATATTTTGTCCATATGAGAGAAAATAATACATGTTCACAGCTGGATTTTACAATGATTTCTATCTGTCAGGGCATTATTTTCTCCACCAGTAGCAGACCAATGCTACAGAGACACTCCTTTATGCACTTTATCAAAGGCAGTCTTCCTGAAGCACTTTTTCCTTTTGATAAACCTGTGTTCCAGGCTGAAGTAATCCAGGCTAACATTAATATATCTTATTTATATACTTGTGCATCATCTTCAGTTACTTTATAGTACAGGTTTTTTAAGCTGATGTGGAGGTGTATAACTGGCCTGAGAAGCTTTTAGCAAAAGATCCCAGTTTCTTACTCAGAATTCTTACAGAACTCTTCAACTCCATGTCCCATTATGCAGATAAATAACACTGAACACATGATTATATTTGTGTTTGGTTTACTTGTCAGATATT